CGTCACTAGGACTAGACTTCCCCCTAACGGGCTTGCGCTGTATCGGAATCGCGGAACTATGAGGTCAACTCTTTAACAGTGGGAGTCATTAAGACGGTCCAGAACATGACTCATCATTCTTGTCGTACGGCTGTCAAGCCCAGCAAAGAACGCCCAGCCTACGGACGCGCGCTGCCGAGTTATGTGCGATTTTCAGGGGGTCCGACATCACGCGGGGGTTCGCCTCAGTTGGCGCTCACGGAGGGCCCAATAAGAATAGAGAAAGGGCCTAACCCTCAAATAGGACGCTGCGGACAGAGGAACTGTGAAGTTGATGTACACGCAGTTCCTGTCCCAGTAGTGCTCTCTTGTCTGTCTTCTACTCCACACAGAAAGTGGCGCCATACAACTGGAGGGCATGACAGTGTTTATGTGGAGTGGCCGATTGGCGGACTAAGTGTCAAGCTACAATTGGCCTCTTCTTGATGTGGCCCTTCTAGCCCTCCGGCTGCATGGGAACCTAGCCAGACGTGGCTACACGCTTAGAGGCAACTCCACTCGTGGCAGCCACATGCGCTTCCACCAATCACCGGCATTCTTGACTTGGTCTTGACACAGGGCCCCGGCGAGAGAGAGAGAGAGAGGGAGAGTCTTTCCTATGGTCCAACGGATGGATGACAGAAAAGGAGAGCGGATCCAGGGACCATTCTCTGTATTTAGTGGACTTCGAATGGTTCTGTAATATTCTTATCTGTGGCGTGCTGCTTATGGGCTGATAGTTTCTTGCGCAAGAACTCCCTCTAGCAGAAAGACGCACAACGATTGCTGGGCTATACGGTGGAAGCTGATTGACTTAATGAGTTAGCATGCGCACTTCACAACTGGCTTGACCGACTGTGCTATGGGTGGTCGCGTTATCCGCTCGTTCGCGGTCGCCCCTCATGTCTAATTCCGTTCCCCTAAACCAACCTTCTGTTTCGCTACCATTATCTCTAAACGGCAAACATTGCGAGGTTACGAGATCGAGCTTCACTTTTGCGCCAGAGGCTGTTCCTAAATGTCCACCACCAAACTCTGCGTAGTTAGTCCAAATGCGTACAAAACACGTGCGTTTTCGCCTAGCTACTTCGCTAAGGGCTGGTAACTAACTACATTACTTTCCAGCCCATTTTAGTCATCAACTTGACCGCTAACTGCCTATTCTTTTTTCACTTTTCAGCTGGGTCATTATACATTAGAAGTGAATATGTCCAACTTCCTAACCTCCTTCCAATTCATCAAATCTCTCACTGTTGAGACGCTGATCCGAGATCTTCGTCTGGCTCTTATCTCAAGTTCCTTGGTTCCCAATGAGAATGGCCTACTTGCGATTCAGTACCTTGGTCTAGCCAGTGAAGCCTGCCTCTGCCTGGCTCTTGGAAACGGAGTAAATCGGGTTTTCAGAGCGTCCGAAGATGCGCCGGAAGTCTGTGTTTCCTGTCCCAATTACACGCCATCGAAAACTTTATTGAAGACCAGTATGCATACTTCTGTTCGCATTCAGTATCCTGAGCGAGGGCAGTACATGGTTAGAGCAGAAGCACACGCTGGTTCGCAAACCGTTAGGGCCAATCTCTCCGTTGCTGTTTTCTCTGAACATTGCTCCCCACCTGGAACTTACCTTCAGAATCCCAACTACGGCAACCCCAACACACCGCAGTGGATCACGACTCTGGATCGGAAGACATTTTCCGCCGTAAATGATGGCAGCATCTGTGGCACTTTTGGACCAATCAGCTTTAAGTGGCGCCTGTGGCGACTGGCAAGAGAGACCGCGGAGCGGACTGAGGAGGTTGACATTGAGCAGACGGAAGGACGAACCAACTTCCAGGTTTTTCTTCCACCAAGGCTCTTAAGACCAGGCCTCTATGAGGTAGAGCTGACAGGCTGGCTGGAGTCGAGGTATCAGGTGATTTCTGGGCTGAGCACCTTTCTGGCGGTCCAAGAGGCCACGCTGACTATCAAGTTCACTGAGGACAATGCAGACATCATCAGCGTGTGTATAGAAAATACTCAGTTCTGTCTCGCGCCAGCTAACTTCTCGTTCGATCCAAACGTTGAAGCGGAGTTGGCAAAGAAAGTAATCCTTACTTCTCAATTGACCCTGCTTTCCTCCTATGACAAAACCCGTAACTGACACTTAAATTGCGAAAAAGCAACGTTTTCATGCCATAGGACACGCGTGGCTGGGTTTTTGCCTGTTTTCTGTGTCCTCACTATAGTATACTCCTTTCATTTTGCACACTACTGAGTTCATGTTAGTAGCTCGTGAATAGTACGCAGTTAGTTCGCAATAGTTTATTAATGTTTGCTCACATATTAATAGCAGTTTTCAACCGATCCTGAAGGTGCTTTTTACCATAGTAAACTAAACAAGACAGGTTGGAAAGCTTAGTTCCTAACCATAAAGTACACAGGGAATGCTGGTTACCTTTTAGTGAACGGCACGCGATTAGCGTAACTTGCCTGTCTGAGGTTTTAACTAGGACCTGTACTGGGAGTTTAGTAAATACTCACGTATTTCGTTACTATCGACTGCCTTTCGACGGCTTGTGAAGATTATGCAGTTAGAAGAACATTGCTGACAAAGCCGAGGACTGGAACAGCCCTTTCTGGCTCATTAGCCGATAGTAGGCAAGCATACCCAACTCCAGAGGGTGCACCGTCCGAAGCTCGAACGCGTGACTCGAAAGTCAAAAGTCAAAACCACTCAGCCACGGGTCCACTGTATTTCCGCTTTAGATCGGTAATATTGACAGTCTTTGATGTTTAGTTGACTACACTATAAATCACTGCGGGGCTCCAGCGTGAGCCCCAAGTTAGAACGGGACGAGAAGGTTCCGATAGTGTTCGGCGAACGTTCGTCGGCGAACTATGCAGTTAGGCCACAGAAGCTGATGATTTCCAGCTCAAATACTTGTAGCAACCTTCAGAGTACGCCTCAAAGATTTGTTCCGGCGTATTTACCACAAGTTCGCGCATTCGTTTTCAGGCAAGTAAACACGGTGGCAGTAGTGGGACAGTAGCGTAGATTTGTCCATAACCATTTTATTCAATTTCACAGTTTACAACCACTAAAATTGCGAATAAACGCATATTATTATTAGCTTTGACGATTAAGAAGTCTTTGAGAAAAAGGCTATGCAGTTGATGAACGAAAACGGGCATTCATTTGACATTTCATACTCTCGTTCGAACCCACCACGGTGGACACAGGCAACCGAATTTAGCTAAAGTAAGTCCATGCGATTTGGATGATGCTTGCTTTGCTGAGATCTCAGATAACATCGGGGTGGCAAACTCTTATGCATACGAAGCCTATGCACATCTTACGTGCTATGCAACCGGCCCGGAGCCCTGCACGCGCGTCTATCTGTGAGCATGCTGTGGGCGTGAGTGCGTAAACGTCATGCGGGAGTCAGTCACTGGTCACTTGATCAACTGCTTAGCCACTAGCACTCTATGGAACCTGTGACTGGCTGACCCAGAATGAGATGGACGAGCGAAGTCACGTGACGGTTTGTGGGCTTGGCTCCAGCGTTAAAAATATACTATCAACTTAAAACTAATCCACGCGTCCCTACAGCCCCAAGCCGTGGGGAACGCGGCGGAAATCCCACTTCTACAGTAGGCGCTGAAAACCGTGCAACTTTCTCAACTTTGTAAACGTTTAATCATTAATCGCATACCGGTGTGAATGCATTTAGGAAAACTCAGAAATAATAATGAGCAGCGTTAGGCATATTTAAAGCTTAAAAGAAGTGTAAGACGTACTAAGAGTTTGATAAGAAAAATAAAATTTTCCCGATAATCCCCAAGTTTTGAAGACTCTAAAAACTGCTTTAATTTAGAACAATAAATTTAAATATTTTGCTTATCTGAAAAGTTTACGAAGCCATTTTCTTTACATAAAAAACGTTTCCTCGGTCGAATATTTTTGTACATATAACTATTAATGGTAAATTTTTATTTAATATTGTCCTCGAAATTGTGGAATCATTTCCTGTGTTTTCAGTATCTTCATTTGTTCATCCAGCAATTCATCTTCTGTTCGACGCTTACATCAAAGCATTTAAAATAAGCTATACATAAAGAGCATTTACTGCAAAAATGAGTTTTTGGATGTTATTTCTTATGAAGATGGTCATGTGGATCATATATAGAAATGCCTCAAAAGAGCAAATCACATTGTCGGGCATACAGAACTTCCGCAAGATAATTCGGATATTGTTATCCACAAGACTAATATAAAAACTTTCTATACTACGTAACCTCTTTAAAAAGTACCTTAATGGGATATTCAGCTGACGAATTTTATGTGTACATATATTGACTTTTTCCAAGGCAATGTCACAATTAAATTTGACACTTTTGACAATTTTCTTTAATTACCTGACGATAGACGATTCAGTTGGACTGGATATGAAAGAACTTACCTTTCTCTTTACAGTGGATTATTATCCTCATAAGTGGATTAGTTCCACGATCTGTTATAAGCATTCGAATTCAAAAAAGTGGCCATTTAAATGACCCCTTTTTGAAAAAAATATTATTATTCTCTCTGTTACGTTTCTAAATAACGCATAAGAGGCAGGTATAATTTACAAAAAAGTATACGTCTACGTGACTTACATTCAATAAGGGCCTCTTTACATTACCTTCGCGGTAACATATGCGGACACTTTGCTTATTCGGCAAGGCGCGCGGTAAAATAAAATGCGATGAAAACTTTTCGCTACTGCATTTTATGCAAAGAAACTTCACAAATTAGCTAAACATAATTTTTTTAAAACATAAATCTTCCTTGTTTCTGAAAATAAATGCGACTCCTTCAATTTGGCTTCACTTGCATATGAACAATTTCGACAAAGTTTTCCAGTTTTGGGAGGAATATATTCTATACCTTTTTTTACTTATTTTGGAGTTCTCCCATAGTATAATCCACATTTATAAGAAAAATTGGTTTTATCATATGTACTAGCATAGGAATTTCCTTCGATATGAGACTACTCCCAATTTCGAAAAACAAATGCCCATTTCTCTTCATAAACCTAACTAAAATGGTGATTTTTCTAACTTAAAGGCTTTCGCAGAATCAATGAAGCAAAAAAATGTGACCAAATATATGCTAAAGTACCAAGTCAAATTTCTTCATGAAAGTTACGCGGTCTTTAGCGCATACTGTAGATCTAAGTATACAAAGACTCGGCGATAGCAGACTAGTAACATGCGTCTACCGAAAAAAAAGCTGGTGCTGAAATCCCTCTTAGCTATGAAAGCAACCACAGCATCGTAAATAAAAAAGTGTTCATACTCTTTATCACGTGGCTTTCCGTTACGATCACGGCGATCACCTGCTTAAAAAAGAACGGGCGTAATCCACAAGATGACAAGCCTATGGCTCAATGGTTACAGCGTTAGACTTTTGATCAAGCGGTCGCGGGTTTGAGCCTCTGCTGGAGCACCACTTATGGTTGGTTAGTTATGCTTGACTAATGAGGCCTAAAGGGGCCATAAATGGTTACTACAGTTTCCCTTGTCTGTGCCGGCAATGATCTCTGTCTATACCACTAGCTGCCGTCCGGCTGCTGGCGCAGCTTAAGAGTGAGTTCCAAGGCAGAGCGGGACGCGTGGGTTCCGGTAATGATCGGTGAGCGTTCGTCAAGGAGCGTATGTTTCTTGGTTCATCCGGTCTAATAGGTACCCGACTAACTTTGTGAAAATTGTCTCAAAAACCGGACACAACCGCAAAGCCTCAGTTCTATTAGAAACCTAATGACACGGGAATACTATTCCCGGCAGGTAAACTGTCCTGACATATTCATCGCAGGGAACCGCTATCCTCCCTACACAAAGCAGTATGTCGTGGATCTTAATCTCATCATGAAACGAGGTCAGGGGGGGCATTGCCTGTCCCAACCGGAGTAACCCACTAAACTGAAAGTGCAGCTGTGTTTCGCCCAGTTATGGTCGATCAACGTTATGATTGCGTAATCCTTCTTTTAACAGGTGATTACCAATTGGACCTTCACCTGCCAGGCTCACAGTCTGGAACAAGTGAATAAAAACGCAACTAAGCTCACTATCTGTCCGCCGCTGTCGCCGCAGATTTCCGCAGGTGTCCTGTGCTTGCAGCCTGCGCTTTTCGACCCCAGCCAGATCTACAGCTTTACAGTCACTGGGAGTACGAGTACGCAGTGTGGAACGGACACCGTCAGTGTGATATTCGTTCCCGGTCGCATACCTCAACTGGCGATAAGGTGAGTTTTTGCATGCTCATTTTAAATTTAGACAAAGTAAAATCTTGAAAATATGCATCCCAAGAAATATAGTTTTATAGAGAAGATACTTTTTGAAACGTGAACGCTGGCACACCAGGTCGTTGTCGGACGTGAGGGAAATGCGTAAAGAACAGTGCGTACAAGCCAACGACCACAATTCGAAATCAGCTTGTACACCCTAAGGATAAGGTTAGCTATTTGGACGTAAAAGGGGTCGTCTACAAAATTCCTTGCGGGGACTGCGATGCAATTTATTGTGGAAAACAGGAAGGTCCACCTCTACACCCATGCATGAACATCAATCAGCGCTAAAGGAGCGTGACCAACTGTCCAAAGTCGCCATGCATTCGCTTGAAAATGGACACATGTTTGCATGGGACCAAACCCGCATAGTAGGTTCCTGCCCATATAGGAAATGCCGCAAATTTTTAGAGGCCATTAACTGTAACGAATCATTCATCAGTAGGCACGTTGATTTAGATTCAATGTACATCAATCTCAAAAAAACCTGGAAAAAACGCTAATCACCAAAACCTGCTATTGACCAAGGATGACAAATCATTACTTATTTTTCAGCATGTTTTAAAATGCGCACTGTTCTTTCCACATCACCCTCACGTCCGACGACGAACTGGTGTGCCGGCGTTAAAAATTTACAATACAGTTCCCTCACACTTCTTCTTTTCTATTAAAGAAGAAGTCCATTTACCGCAAAGACACATATGTGGAAAGTATTCTACTCAACGAGAGCACCAAGCTCATCTCTTACAAAACGAGTGCCTTCAGCAGTCTAATACATCGAGCGAAGAAACACTGTTCTGACGATTAAACATACCGAGTAGAACTAAATTATGTGTTTGATTTATTTTCCCAGAATGTTTAACCCAGAGATTATGTTCACCGATGCATGAAACAACAACAACAAGAAAATAGAGAAGACGAGCTAGGTAGTTCCATTTGAGCGCCACAAACAAATACATGATGAATCCTTCCTTATATAAGGAATGTGTCTGAAGTCGTTGAAAGGCACTTGAGGAAGTACAAAATAAAAGTGACGCACAAACCAACGACTAAGTTACGTGACCAGCTTGTACGCATTAGGGTAGGTTTGGCTATTTTGATAAAAAAGAACTCGTTTAGGAAATAACATGCGAAGCTTGTGATGCCGTATACTGCGGCCAAACAGAAAGATCCGTCTCTACACGAATTCACGAACGTCAACTGCTAGTGAAAACATGTGACCATTTATTCGAAGTAGCTATGCATACTCCTGATAAAGGACACAGCTTCGCATGGGACAAAACAGGCATCATCAAAGTTTGCCACTCCAAAAGAGGCCGAGAGTTTCTTGAGGCCATGTACTCCGATGATTCATGCATCACCCGCTACATAGAGTAAGACGGTATTTATAAACACCTCAAAGAACGGTGGAAGAGACGAAAACCGCATAACACAGACTGGCAGAAGTCACAACTACCAATCAGGTCGCACACCACATATTTATTGACGTTTTCCACACGTTTAAAATTTTAGGTGTTCTTTGCACATTTGTTGTTAGTCCAAAGACGAGCTAGGGAACTAGTCTTGAAAATTCACTGAGTAAGGTTATCTTTATATCCCAAAGAACATATTTTTCTTCAACGTAAAAACTGTAGCCTTTCAATCCGTCTATCTACCCACTTTGTGGCTGTTGGCAGGGCTCGACTGTATGCCCAAAGGCAGAACAGTTGCAGTGAATCCGACAACTGATCAGGCAGTACCTATCCATCGATCGAAGGCGAAAATACCACATTAAATTGCTCAATGATTGGAGCGTTGGAGGTCTAGTCAACAGGTCATGTCTTTGAGCCTTGGGTGGTGAAACAGCAAGGATTGAATAGGGCTGGCTGATGAGAACTAGTAAGCCTGAAACTGCAATTTCAGTCTCCCTTCTCCCTTTTCAGTAGACTTACTGGCGATAGTATTGTAGCAGCCCTGATAGCCCCAAGTGAGCCCCAAGGCAGTAAGGGACAAGTCAGCTGAAATCAGCCTTCTAGGCGATATGAGTGTAAGATAATTGAATACGCTAAGGTCGGTCAAGGAAAATGCTTAGTCCAGGAAACAAGTGGGCGGTATCTCATTTTAGCGGCACAGGCACACGAATGAAAAAGCTCATTAGGTGAACAACCACATGCTTGATAAGAGGCAGTGAGTGCTAATACAAAGCAACCAAGGGGATGCTTGGGACACGCTGATGAGCCGGACCCCCGCAACCGAGTCAAACAGCAGCAGAATACTGACGAGACATGTGTATTGGCTTTTAGCTAGCACCTGTTCTGCCAGTATGGTCACGTCGGATAAACCAAGTCTAGCCGCCACCTTTCCGCCTTCCTTATCCTTCTACCTAGCTGTACTTTCTAGGGATCCCATTCATACTTTTGTCGTTTTGAGAATTTCTGGACTGAATGTGTTTCGTATAAGTCAGTTGGCATTGACTGTTACAAACGCATATATTCTACGTACTGTTGCCCCAAAGGATCATTTTAAATTAATTATACAATGTGTTCCTACAGGACTTATCAGTAAACTCCGTAATGATTTGATGGTTCAGCTCCGACTACGATCATGCGCTGATTGGTCTGCTGTCGCAAGAGATGAACACAGCGACAGCACAATGTATGAAAACTTGCCTTTCAGCTCTTTACTTGATAGGACCTCCCTATTGCCTAATCTGAACTCTTGCCCTGCTTAGGTTCTCTCCGTTGACCCATTGCCCACATTAACATGTATCCGTATTTCTAGTCCCCTTAACCGGAAACTAGAAGGGAAAGGCTCAGCCCAAGTAATAAAGGTAGTACTGCGCCTAATTTCAGGAAGATTAACTATTCCTATCTCTCTCCTACATTTCACGTTAACCCTAAACGGTAGCCCTAAACTTAACCTTAATCTTACAGTTGCCACATCATACCTGGTGGTATTGGCAGATAACATTACGGGCAAAGACAAAGGAGACTGGAGTGACCATTTCTGGCTCATAAGTCGTCGGCAGTCACTCATACCCAGACCCTAGTACTGCCCCAGTTGAGCCTCAAGCTCGCTAATTTTTTAATCAGAGTCAGAGGCAGAGCAATACACATGAGTCTCGTTGGCGGTCAGGTTAAAGTTCATCAGTGATTACTAATCCTGATATTAATATGCGCGAATATTCGGGGTCCAGATATAATATCGTGCTCATCAT